TGGGCTGGGAGCAGCGGGAGGAATGGTGACCGGGAAGCCCCTTCCTGTGGACCAGGAGCAGTGGTACGACGGCTCAGAAGCCCCTACCTCTGAGCCGGGAACAGTGGGACTCAGTACCTTGGCCTGGTGGTCTGGTGTCCTCTGCGTCTTTGTAGTGTGGAATCAGGTGGCTGCCGGTCTGCAGCGGGGTGATTCGGTGTCTTCCGTGTGACTCAGGACCTCGGTAAGGCTTGCACAGACCTGCCTGTCTGCAGCGGGCTGATTTGTTCTGTTCTGTACAACTCAGGACCTGCCTGTCCGCAGTGGGCTGATTCGGCATGTTCTGTGCGACTCAGGACCTTGGTAGGGCATGGGTAGACCTCTGCTTTATTTTCTTTATGCATGTCTGTCATTGCTGTTACTCTGTCAATGAAAGAGACCTGATAAAATTTATCCTTTTAAAATAGTGGCTCTCCATTGCTCCAAGGATCGACTCGTTAAAGATTACCTACAGTCTGACCCTAATGAAACTAGTTTAATTCTCTAACATACCTTATGGTTTTTTTTTTTTTTTGGTACCAGGGATCGAACTTGGGTCCTTGCGCTTGCAAAGCAGGCTCTGGAACCACTGAGCTAAATCCCTGGCCCCATACCTTGTGGTTTTTGTGTCATTCCTTCTTTTTTGTACCGGGGAACGAACTTAGATCCTTGTGCTTTTGAGACAGCTGGCAGAACCACTGAGCTAAATCCCCAGCCCTCCTTCTATTTTCTTACTCCATTATGTGTCCATCAAAAATTTTCTTTATGTTTAAAGACTGCATTAAGTTTCAAACCTTCCATGAAACCTTCCCAAATTGCCCTAATTGGATATGATTTCAGTTTTCTCTTAAGTTCCTAAAGCAGCTGTTTTGTGGCTCTTCCTACATAACATCTGTCATTATTAATTATTTATTTTCAAGTTTAGCTTCTAACTAGATTTTAGTCTTTTTGGTGGCTGACACAACATCTTTTGTCTCTTTCTTTTTTTTTTTTAATTTTAAGCTTTTATATTTATTTATTTATTTATTTGTGTACCAGGGATTGAACTTGGGACCTTTTGGTTGTGAGGCAGGCGGCGGAACCACTGAGCTAAATCCCCGGTCTCTTTTGTCTCTTTCTATCCTGCACAGTGTAGTGTATGCTTTGGGCATAAATGGAACTCCATACATATTTATCTATCTTAATTTAGGTAATTTTTATGTATTGCTTTGAAATTTTTATGACCTGCTTTGAAAATATATGCAATTAAATAGGTTGATGTAACATATACTCTAGCTGTGGACTCAATTTAAGTCAGTTTCCATTTGCAAATGAACTCTTACTAGAATTTAATGGGGAAATGATTGAAAACCAAAGGAAGCATTGATTTGTGCCTTTAAATGAATATGTTCTGGAAATTACGTTATAGGTCAGTGGTGGGAATCTATGACACATGTGCTACAGATGGCTGTTTGTTATTATTGAAAGCTCTAAAAGGTTTGCGATCACTGTTATAGGTTAAAATACAATAGTAAATTAAAATGTGATAATGAAATTTGTGATATTTCCTTTTACATTTTTGTTTCTTTTAGTGGCGGCATGATTTTGTGCATGGATGGATAAAAGTACCTGTGACTCATGAAACACAGGAAGAATGTCTTGGAATGGCAGTGTTAGATATGATGAGAATAGCCAAAGAAAAAGATCAAACTCCATTGGCTATCTATAACTCAATCAGGTAATTTCCTTCTCTGTATTCATATATGTAAATGTAAACAGATTTTATATAGTTTACTTATAGTTTCTGTTTGTCCATACTTTTTGATTTTATAATAATAAAAATGGGTAACTTTTTTTGTATATAACAGTTTATAAGATGAAATTATTGAGTTAGTACTACAGAAAGTATCATAAATATCTATTTATTATTTGATTATTATTATTCTTAAAAGGCTAAATAAACTCAGATGACTGGAAAGAATACTTGGAGAGAGAATTTTTGATAGTAGATCCTCAAATTATAAATGATCTGTATCAGTGTTTCTCAAGTTGTGGTTTGTATTTTTACTTGTATTAGAATCATCTGAGGTACCTGTTGAAATTGAAGATTCCTGGGGCATAGCCCAGGCAATTCGGATTCAGTAATTCTAAGGTGAAGCCCACAATTATGAAATTTTACAGATGCTTCAGAGGATGCTTATACAGATGATTCAAATTCAGCATTCTCCAAATGATTCTTCTGCATACTGGATTTTGGCAATCGTGACTAATAGTTTTTTGAAATACCATTCCAGTAGCCCTGTTTTAATGTCTGCAAAATTTCTACTTTTAAAAAGGTATATACAGTAAGTCCCTGACTTTTGAACACGTTCTGTTCCTGGAGTATGTTTGTCAGATTGATTTATAAGTCTGACTGGTTTGTAAGTCTGACAAAAAGTAGGTCTTATACACCTTTGACACAAATATACAGTGTAAAACATAAAAAAACGCCAAATATACAAACAAAAATATTGTACACTATTACACTTTACAATGGGCACACAGAAGCACAACTGTGACGATGTCCATCAGACAAATGAGCTACTTCAGTGTTTTGTTCACATCTATGATTGTTCTGGGCCAGGGATTTAGCTCAGTGGTGCCACCGCCTGCCTTGCAAGTGTACGGGCCTGAGTTTGATCCCCAGTACCAAAAAAAAAAAGAAAAGAAAAAAGAAAAACATCTATGATTGTTCTAATGTGAAGTCCATTCATATCTATGAAAGTTTGCGACTTTAATGTTCATAAATTGGGAACTTAGTGTATAGCTATATAAGAATGCTTTGTTTTTTTTTAAGTTCTAAGGCTAAATATATATTTTATTACACACTGAATATTTACTGATTAAAAGCTTGAGAATGTAGCTGGGTATAGTGGCACTTGTATATACTCTAAGCTACTAGGGAAGGCTGAAGGAGGAGCTTCACAACTTTGAGACCAGCCTGGGCAACACATTGAGACCCTGTCTGAAAATAAAATTAAAAAGGACTGGGGTGTAGGTCAGTGCTGGAGCACCTGTCTAGCTTGTATCAGGCCCTGGGTTCACATATACACAAAAAAATATTAGAGGATGTGAATGTGGTTAAAACTCATTTTCTTTTTCAAAATTTTTCTTGCAATAAATGTCTTTAGTAACTCCTATGCTGAGTAGCTTCAAAACAGTGCCATATCCAGTTCGTAGAGGATCAGTTTCTGTAATTCCTCTTTGGTTTTAAGTATTCTTTTTTTGTTTTCACATGTCTGTTAGGCCTTAACTTGAGGGAGTAGACCATAAGATTGATTTTAAGAACTCAGGAATCTAAAGATTAAGTCTAAAAGAAAACCCAAAGCACTACCATTTTTCATTAAGGTCTTGATCCTTATTAAAATATTGATGCCTATTAGATATTAGCTTAGTTATTCAACAGCAGCTATTTTTGGATATTTGCTATATGTCAGGCTATAATAGAACAAAGCTGGAGGAAGAGTATTTTAGAAGTTAATAGAAACTGAAGGATTTGAAGAGAACACAGTCAAAGAATAGAAGTTTGAACCACTGAAGATGAGTATTATACATACGGAGTCACATGTAGGCTTATACTATATTATTTGGTACTTCTGTTTTTGAGACCACAATCTTATCCAAAGCCTTAACAGAATCTTTTATGTAGATTGTAGTTTCTTTGAGGTCAGGAATCATGTTATCTATTATTTTTCTTCCTGCATTGTTCAGTATTCTAAATCCAATGGATGTTTAGTAATTGCATTTCTATGATTCTTTTAACTCATACTCTGAACCAGGATATAAAGATGTCTGTAAACTTCTGCATAATTCTTATTTGCTTTACTTTTTAAATTATGTGAATATTAAACATGCATTATAAGATTCCATAATACTTAAAAATAGCTGATTTAAATATAATCTACATCTCATTTTTTAAAAGTATACAATTCATTACAGTATTTCCTAGGATATTCACAGAGTTATAAAAAGATTACCACAATCTAATTTTAGAATATTTTTATTCTTAAAAGAAACCCCATACTTATTTGCATTCAGTCTCCATCCTCTTTTCCTCCAGCCTTTTGTGTCAATGGATTTGCCTATTTTGAGTAGTTCCTATAAATGGTAGCATACATTTATGTGATGGCATTTTCTGTCTCCTTTCATCTAGCATAATGTTTCAGATTTCATCCATGTTGTAGCATATATCACCATTTCTTTTTATTGCTAAAGTGTATCTCATATCAATATATCACACTTTGCTTATCTGTTCATCAGTTGATGGAAATTTGGGGTGTTTCCACTTTTTGACTATTGTGAATGTTGTGGCAGCTAGGGTGGAGTTTCAACTTGATTCCCTTTGAGATCTGCCTCAGGGATTGGTGGAACATGATTCTAGATGTTCTGGAGGGGTCGTGGAGCCATGGCCTTGAGGTCTATGTCTGGTTCCCCATCCTTCAGCTCCAGCAGTCTTCTGTTGTTCTGCTTCCTGCTCTGCCACACCCTTCTGCCATGATGTCTCAGCCTCAAAGCCAGCTGATCATGGACTGTAACTGTGAGCAAATTAAACCTGTCTCCTTTAGGTTATATGTGTTGAATTTTGTGTCCTAATGATAAAGTGGAATAATACAGAAAAATTGTTACCAGACAAATGGAGTTGTTACTGTGACCATATCTGATCATGTAGTTCATAAGCATTTGGAAATTATTTGCAGGAGGACTTTGGAAAAGTTTGGAGATGCAAGCTGGAGATGCAAGCTAGAGAAGCCCTAGAATGTTGTGAATAGTGCTTGATGGGCAATACTGGTCAGAGCTCAGAAGAAGGAACAAGGGAGGAGAGAGGGAGAAGGGAAGGAAGGGAAAAGGAAAAAAGAATGGAAAGAAAAAATGGAAACAATGCTCTTGTAAGTGGGAAAGGGAAGAAGGGTTGAAGGGAGGGGAAGAATGGGAAAAAAAGAAGAAATAAGATATATTATGTACAGGTGCAAATTCCCTATGATGTATGTGATCAATATGTATTGATAAAAAAGTTAAAAAAAAGAGCAGGGCTCAGGCTATTTCAGTTTGGAACAAGTATACTGCATTGGCAGTCCATTGGCAGTTGGACTAGAAGCCATGTAATACTCTGGCAGAAAATTTGCCTACATTTTCCCACATCTTGAGACTTCTGAGAAGACTGAGTTTAAGGTCAGTGGAATTAAGCTGGCAGAGGAAATTTTAAGACGGCCTAACATCCAGGGTGTGGCATGGGTAACTGCTGACTGCTTTTAGCCAGTTTTATAGTAATAATTAGGGGAATAAGGCAGACAGAAATATTTGAAAAATTTAAATTTTTGCCCCAGAAGGAACTATATGCAAAATTGGACATCTACTGAGATTATCATGTGATGTTTGTCCTTGCTTTTTTTATGTGATGAATTATATTTATTCATTTGTATGTGTTGAAGCATCTTTGCATCCCTGGATGAAGCCCCCTTGGTCATAGTGTATGATCTTTTTGATGATTTGTTGTATTCTGTTTTCCAGTATCTTGTTAAGGATTTTTGCATCTATGTTCATTAGAGAAATTGGCCTATCGTTCCCTTTTCTCATTGGATTCTTATCTGGTTTCAGGATTAGGATAATGTTAGCTTCTGAGAATGATTTTGGAAGTGTTCTTTCCCTTTCAGTTTCATGGAAAAGTTTGAGGAGCATTGGTGTTAGATCTTCCCTGAAATTCTTGTAGAATTTGGTGGGGAATCCATCAGCTCCTGGGCTTTTCTTAGTTGGAAATTTTTCTCAGTCTCATTGCTTGTTACTGGATTGTTCAAGATTTTTAGGTCTTCTTGGTTCAGTTTTGATAATTCATATATATCTAGGAATTTCTCCATGTCTTCTGAGTTCTCCAGTTTTTTGGCATGTATGTTTGTGAAGTAGTTGTTAATAATTTTCTAGAGTCAGTAGTGCCCACTGTGATTTCACCTTTTTCATTTTTAATTGCATTAATTTGTGTCTTGTCTTTGCTTTTTTGGGGGTGAGATTGGATAAGGGTTTGTCTATTCTATTTATTCTTTCAAAGAACCAGCTCTTTTATTCATTGATTCTTTGTATTGTATTTTTGGTCTCCATTTCATTAATTTCTGCCCCCTTCTTTATAATTTCTTTACTTGTACAAACTCTGGGTTTGCATTGTTCATGTTTTTTTAAGTCCTTGAGATGCTTCATTAGGTTATTTAAGCTTGTTCTATTTTTGTGATGTGGGTATTTACCACTATAAGCTTCCCTCATAGGACTGCTTTCATTATATCCCATGAATTCTGTTATGCTATAGTGGCATTATTATTTAACTCTCAGAACTGTCTTCTTCCTTAATTTCTTCTGTGACCCATTGATTATTCAAGAATTTGTTGTTTAATTTCCATGTTTGCATAGTTTCTATGATTTCTTTTGCTATTAATTTCTAGTTTCATTGCACTGTGATCTGATACTGTGCATGGTAAGATTTAAATTCTTTTGGATTTACTTATGGTTACTTTATTAACTAGTCTATGGTCTAATTTGGAGAAAGTACCATGGGCTATAGAGAAGAATGTATATTCTGCTGTTGGGTGGAACACTGTGTATATCTATTAAGTATTTATTTGAAGGTTTGATTCAACTCTCATTTTTCTTTGTTGATTTTTTTGTTTAGTTTGATTTATTTGTGATAGGCTATTGAGATCTCCTACTATAATTGTA